TACTTTACTTTGGAGGATTGTTTGTTTTTTGTTGTGTGTTTAAGGTGATTTTTTTTTGTAGTTGATGTGTGTGTGTGGATGATGCGTGTAGTTCTAGTAGATTGGACTGGATTTTGATCAACCTTTTTTGGGTAGAATATATGTATACAGTATGAACCCGTACGAAACATTTACACAGACAGACGCATACATACACAGACACACATATAAAAACAAGCATACAAGCATGCACACACAACTCATACAGAAACACAAACGCACAAAAACAACCGCGTATGTACATGAAAAGCACATGCTACACACACAGGCACACATAGATCAAATACATATACAGACACTACACACTCTATTCACAAACCAACAAACAAACACACATACTCGAACTAACTAATTAACAAACAAACAGCCAGACACATCTAACCATTATTTACTTCAACCCACTGGCGTAGCGCTGTGGAACGTATCGTATACAAGAAAATGAAAAATAAAAAAGTGTTCTATGCTATCAACACCAGATAATTTGCTCTACACAGGCCATCCGCTGACCCCCGTGTATCACTCTGTACGGGCGAAATAGCTATACTTCGGCCTCTCTTTCATATTTCAGTTTCCCATGTACAAAATGCAAACATTTTTTTTCTTTATTCTATCTCTCTTCCTCTCTCTCTCTCCCTCTCTCTCTCTCTCTCTCTCTCTATCTATCTATCTATCTATCTATCTATCTGCTTGTCTGTCTGTCTATCTCATTCTCTCTCTCTCTCTCTCTCTCTCTCTCTCTCTCTCTCTCTCTCTCTCTATCTATCTATCTATCTATCTATCTATCTGCTTGTCTGTCTGTCTATCTCATTCTCTCTCTCTCTCTCTCTCTCTCTCTCTCTCTCTCTCTCTCTCTCTCTCTCTCTCTCTCTCTCTAGCTCTTCTCTCTCGCTCTCTCTCCCTCTCTCTCTCTCTCTCTCTCTCTCTCTCTCTCTCTCTCTCTCTCTCTCTCTCTCTCTCTCTCTCTCTCTCTCTCTCTCTCTCTCTCTCTCTCTCTCTCTTGATTTTGTTGGAAATGCATTACTGCTCCGAGTTAACTTTGGGAGAGAGAAAAAAAAAAGTTTCGGTCGACGGAAAGATTAGGTTAAACAAGGCATGGTATCAGATGGTGAATTCTGTTTCATCATTATCCTTATTAATAATAATTATCATGGTCATCATTGCTGTTCACTATTATTATTGTCGTTATTATTACCATTAACATTATTATTAACATTAATATTATCATTATTTTTACACACACACACACACACACACACACACACACACACACACACACACACACACACACACACACACACACAAACACACACACACACTAACACAAACACACACACATACACACACGCACAGATATGTGCGTATATATATATATATATATATATATATATATATATATATATATATATATATATATATATATATATATATATATATGTATATATATATATATACATATATATATATATATATATATATATATATATATGTATATATATATATATATATATATATATATATATATATATATATATATATATAAATGGAAAGTTGCATTTATTCAACTAGGATCTGAATTTAAAAATGTAAAGAGCAAAATTAATAATACATTTCTCTAGTTCGGTTCAGATCTTTAACATCCTCGTAAGACAGTTGTTGTCAATTCTCCATTTATCTTTCAACACAAACCTTATCAGAAGTATAAAGATTATTTTCTAAGTATCTTGGGATAATTTGTTCCTAACCTTCATTTACTTTCCAGTAACTCATATTCTATAACACTTATTAGTGATTTAAAAAAAGTTTCACTGGTTTTGACGAGACTTTGATTTCCATCAGTAAAACAAATTATTATTATTCATCAAAGAAGATAAATGCAAATAAGTTATTCATCAAATTCAGACCTTTAGTCACGTTTTATTTCTTCTGAGAGAGTCTTATACCTATTTATTTCTGTCTTCATACAGCTAATACCTTTTAAGACTAAGTAAAGTTAAATCTCAATAAAAATCTCAACTGAACATTCCAAGACCTTTAAAACGAGTTGAATAATTCACCAAGGGAGGCAGCAAGGATGTGGAAATATAGATGAAACAATAGAACAGGTTTATTATAAATGTATGATCATAAATGTATTATCAAAATTGGCAACGACTAATAAGAAATGCAAACATTAATGGTGAAATATTGTTTGATCTTTTACCAATACAACCTGCCTCAAAAGAAAAATGTGTCAAAATAATTGGAGTTAGCTATGAAGATTAATTCCTTCAAGTGAAACACCAAATGTTCAAGAAACACAAAACTGGTAACGTTAAATCTCAAAAGTTAAATCAATATGTAGTTTATGTAATTCAATATATTGATAAAAATCATTACTATAAAAAAAAAATCCTGATTGAACAACAAAAAGTTAAACTCAGTGCCTAAACCAAACATTGGACACATTTAAGGCACAACTTCA